CTGAGTCTGGGGACACCAGGAAACAGATCTCACACGATCTTCAGTTAATTTAACTCTCCCTCCTAAGAATCCCCAGCCCCCTCCCCACCAAAAACAGGCACAGACAAGATGTGGAAAGAAAAAAGCAGCTCACCCAAGAATCGCTGTTTTTCGGCTGGTCTCGAGAAACACACAGCCACTTGAGGGGCTGCTCTGTCCTGGGGCTCTGGTGCCTCTGCCGGGCTCCTCTAGGGACGGGCCTCTGGTCAGGGGTCCCAGGACCCAGGATGGATTCCTTGCCTTGGAGCTTTCTAATCCCACCGCACGGACTGTCTCGTTCCTGGAGAGGTGGGACCTGTGGACCCAAGAGCAAGCTCACTTTAGCAAACACATTTCGTCTGGGCCCCAGCCTTGGTCCCCTTTGTGGGTGAACATACTCGCACGAAGCTGGGCTGCGGGTTCCGCAGACTGTGGTCAGTGCTGCTGAGGGGCAGAAGTGAGGGTGAAGGGAAACGGGGGACCCATCGCACAGACAAACCTCCCCCAGACTCTGCACAGGCCCCCAGAAGCCCCGAAAGTGCAGCAGCCCCCGAGCTTTCAGGAAGCAAACAGCCCTACTGTCGGCAGGAGTCCGCAAGGAACAGCTTTTGAATGAGACAGTCAATCTGCGTTGCAGCAGGTTGCTTCTCTCGATAGCTGACGTCCAAGAACAATTCACTTCACCTCTCTGAGTCTTTTCATGGCTAACACGATGAGAGCCGGAGGAGAGCAGGGCAGCTGGGTCGTTTTTGAATCTCCCAATAAAAACAGAAGAGGTCTCCAAGAAGAGGAAAAGAAAAAGCCCAGAGACGGCCACAGACAGACAAACGGACCCAGGTGGCAGATCTCCAGCACGCTGCAGGTCCCCCAAGTCACCACTAAGTAGGCCCCCCCGACAGGAGGGCGCCTCCTGAGGGGAACCTGAGCCCGTCAGCCCAGAGCTGCAAGTGACTAAGAAAAGTGTTCCCAAGGGTGCTAAGGGCACTAAGGGTGCTGGGTCCCCAAGGAACACGAAGGTCGGAGGAACGATGGGTCTTCACTATGAGGGAGAGCCTCCAGGAGGGGAGGGAAACTGCTCAGCACAGGAGCAAGAAAGGAGATCTGGGCAGAGAAAGAGACGAGAGAATGGCGATTCAGAGAACGTGGGAAAGGAGAGAAAGGGAGGAGACAGAAGTACGAGTTGGTCAGAGGGAAGGCTCCAGAGGAAGCTCGTTCCAGAAACCATCTTAACAACAAAATACACAAAGTAAAAACGGGAGAGACACAAGGAAGACGAGGCACACTGGACTCTAAGGGACATGGGGTCAGAGGCAGAAAAAGGCTTCCTGATGAGGCTTAGCGTAGAGTCAGGTCGGGGGCGTGTGTACATGTACGTCTGCTTCTATTTACAGAAGAATCCCTGAGATGAACCAGGAACTGAAAAACAGTCACCTCCGGGGGAGGGAAGAACAGAGCAGGAGGGACAGAGGCTTGTCTGAAGGCACCGTTTACATTTTCTACTTTTAAATCACCTAAATATTTCACATGACCCAAAAGGAGGCGGGCAATCCCTGAAGTTGAAAATAAATGTCAACAGATACATTTGTTTTTACGACTGGAAACAAAACTACAAGAGACAATACTTTTTTTAACTGACCTTAATGTGTGGTATTTAACTGTATTCTTCCGATAAAATGAGCTACAAAGACATACTGAACTTTACTTAGTCTCTCTGTTAGCAGTTAAAAAAACAAAACTGTTACTTTAAAACCATTGCATGTATGCTATAGGACATGACAGTTACATTACCGTTACTAA